CCTCAGTCTCAACCTTAGCAGATCTCGGGAGTGATCACTACCCTATTCTAACTACAATAGGAGTGGAGCCAACACATGTCCAATACAGGAGACGACCTACCTGGAAGTTTGTAGAGGGCTCCTGGCCGCAGTGGCAAGCAGCTATCAACCAAGTTGGTACCAATACCATTGAATTCCTGAAGGAAATTAATGCCCTGAAGCAAATGTAATTTTAAGGAATAGAATTTAGTATGTCCAACCTATCTTAATGTTGCCCATTTGTTTTATTCAAATTTCGCCTGTCACATCTAACAATTGCAAGTATACTAACTGCAAATAACACTCTGTGGAACTAACTTCATCTTCAATCTTCAACAAATGCACCTCTAGGTGCATCCATGAGCTCAAGTAGAGGTGCTCTGCGCAGATCTATTGAATACTGTAATGACTGCCTATGTGAAGGGTGCCTCTATTTGCCTCCACCAGATAAGCAGTTTTTCCCTTGCCTCCTTCTGAGCCCTGCCCATAAGAGAGACATCTTGTTAGCTTATTTGCATCAAATACTGTTTGCACTAGCCACATTTGACTGAAAGAGGCTCCAGGTTGTGCCACCCAGGCTGGACCCTCACCTAGAGTCTGGTTTCTCGTATGTGGCACAAGGTAGGGCATCCTCTAGTTACTAACTTGGGTAATTTGGCCTAGCTACGGTAATTTAATGGCATCTTCTGTTTAGTATGAACTAGTCACTAGCATCTCCTGATAATATTGAATGATGTTGTTGGCGGGGGTGGTTTAGGCTACTTTGCAGCACACCCTCTTGTTCCTCTTACATGTTATCCCCTTTTTCCCTCTTATGTGTGTTACTGTGTGTTTATATTGAAGTGTTTAACTATTTTATAAATTCAACTAAAATAATTCTCATTCTTTTCAGGTCAGGTTTAGATCAGTAATTGATTACCTAAATTTATGCCAAAAACTATTCAAAAGTGTGGTGCTGTATAAATTGCTGTCCCACGCTCCCTAGTCCCTAACCTCTCCAGTGATTTGCTGGAAAGATCTCCTTAGTCCTTAACCTCTTGAGTGATTTGCTCTAAAGCACCCTATGAACCTCCTAACTGGCTTGTATTGGAAGCCGTTATTGGTGCGCATCTTACTCATTGGTCTGTGTGCATTTTTACTTGGCATCATCTTTAGTTCAGCTTCAGTTTATCAGTCCTACACATTTTCCTTATTCTGTCATTTTCCTGTCACTTTCACTGTATGAGATCCCAATAGTTATTAGAACCAATATTTGCATTTCACTTTCCTTTTCAACCTCTAGTCATCATATTAGTTTCACTAATTCTTGGTTACCAACAAGTTAGTCAAAGTAGGCGACGAGTTCGTCTCACCCGCGTTGAGACACCGGTAACAATGTTTTATTTTGAAACATGTTGTCCCTTGATCTACCCGCTGCAAAATATTTCCCTAAACATGATATTGACATATAACTCCCCAATTTTATGAGCTGTAGCTGACCAATTGACACAATGTTTATGATGCTTTAAGCTAATGACATTCTTCGTGTGCACACAGTTGCTGGGACTGCTGCAGTCTCTGAATTGTGGAGCAGTCGTTTGACTGGTGGGACTGCTGTAACAACTGAATCCCCCTGCAGACGTGGAGCTACATGGACGGGTCTCCAAAGCTCCAGTAATCATCAAACAAGAAGAAGAAGAAGAGAATCCTGTTTCGTTGCTCAAAGTCAAAGCATTCACATCTTATCATTAAAGCAGTTACCAAATTTCTTACCAGTACTGGACGCCTTGGAACCCTTTGAAGAAGTATCAAGCCATAGGAGAAGTAATTTGGAAATGAAACATAAATCCACCAGTTATTTGGAAATACCAAGAAGATGAATCACCAGTTGTCTGGAAATACCAAGAAAAACAACAATGCCAGCTATGAATCAAGACAGTTAAAGATCTTTGGAAACCATGAAAATTATAGCAGCAACCCAAGCAATTGCCATCTATCTGGAAATAATAGGCCAGGGAAATCCTGAAATAACAGCCACCTCCTACAAGCAAGAAAAATTTGACTGTGGCTGCGAGTGGAAAATTTGGAAAGCCAGCAATTAATGCCATGTATGATGTCCACACTCCACAGTCCAGGTGTGACAGTTGGCCTGAGTGAGGTCACTGGTCATCTCTTCACCTTCAGCAAAGCACACACACACTGTATTGTTGGGAGTGTTCGAATCAGTTTGATGAGGAGTGATTGTGATTTGTGAAATATGTTGAATTGCTATGCAGGATCTACCCAACCTTGGTTTGCACTTCGCAATTCCTCAGTTCTTGTTCAGTCTAGGACAGGTATTATCATTTGTCAAACAATGACTGTTAAATTGGTTCTTTTCCTTTTTGTCAGCCTAATTAATTTACAGTGTGATGCTTTTACTTGTGATAATTACTTTAATTGTTTTCTTAAATAATTTTTACACTTTAAAGATCCTTAGATCAGACTTGCATTCATTTGCCCTTGACTGTTTAAACTCAAATACTCAATAATATATGTATTCCCTAATTCCTTATCCTTTTCTTTGTTCTGTCATTCTTAAAGTTAAATTAACTTTACTAAATCCCATTCCATGGCAAATAATTCAATAGACAGTCTTATTGCATGTATATTTAGGTATATTCATTTGTTTTTTTTTCCAGTTGCTGTGTGAACTCAATTTTACATATAGGCAGGGGCAATTAACACGGCAGGGCCGTGGAACACGGCAGAGCCGCGAAACACGGCAGCGCCACAAAACACGGCAGCGCCGCAAAACGCGGCAGAGTCGCAGAACGCGGCAGAGTCGCAGAACACGGCAGAGTCGCAGAACACGGCAGAGTCGCAGAACAAGGCGGAGCTGCAAAACAGGGCAGAGCTGTGAAAGATCTTTCGTAATAATAACATTATTCATGAAATCAAGGGTTTCAAGCAATGTCTTAATACTAAGTTACGTAAAATGAACATTAAAAAAAATACATAAAATAAATAAATAAATGAATAAAATATAATGTACCTATATGTATACTGGAAGTTTAGTTTTGTTACCTTAGTATTTGTTTGGGACATAGCAGTCCCAGGCCACGATTGATTGCCGCAGCGCCGCCTCAGATTATTGTTCATCCGCCCTCATTTGGGCCACCTGATGCACGATGCTGTTGCTTGCTTCTCAAGTTCTCAGTTTTCACCACTGGTAGTGTTGCAGGGGAGGTCAATTTGGGATTGTGCCCACTGCCCAGTGCCCAGGGGGCCAGAACCCTCAAGTTCATTTTTGAGTCCTATATGTAAACCAGTAAAATATTCTGGATACCTGCATTATCATACATAAGAAATTGGTTTAAATTGTAAGTAAATGAGGAAATTAAAAATGAACTGATTCTACAAATTCCGTGGTTTGTCACTATGTGTCCAGGAACACGTCCAGTTGTCTCTTGAAGGTCTCCAGCGTCAACTCCCCCTCTCTTAGATCCTTCGGTAGGATGTTGAACAGCCTTGGCCCTGCCACGGTAAGTGATCCTTCCCACAGGGATTGAAATCTGACTGCGGATCTGTTATGTAGTGGGGTGATCTTGCATAGTCTTTCCCTTCTCTTGTTGTGATATGTCTCAATCCTGATTCCTGAAGGAGTGAAGGTTTACTTAAATGTTTATTGATGTGATCCTAATTATGAGTTTTGGGCAACAAATTTTATATGTATAAACTTTTTAATATTTTGGCTTATTTTTTAATAAATAAAAATAAATACTTTAATAAAACAAAACCCTAATTATTCATTAATTCCCATTTTCTGTGACAAGCAATCTAACAGTAAATTTTCACTAAGTGAATGAGTTTGTTCCACCCACTACCTAGTGCACCTGGTTACAATGTGACAGTTGAACTCTATGAATCTAAGTTCTAACTAGGAGTCCAGTATTGTGCAGTTTTTTGGTGACAAGTGGCAAGGTATGTACAGTTTTTGCTGAGTCACAACTTATGTGTCCTTGACACTTGACATGTTACTTAGTCTACAAGGTAGCATGTTTCAACCAGGCCACCTTCTTTTACACTATTTGAATCAATTCCTTGCAATGAAAATTAAGTTTAAAAAACATAATTTTGGCATTGACATTATTTAACAAAATCTTTATTTCTGTAGTCTAATCTATGCTGTTTTATTAGACATAGCTTGACTATCACTCACTATTGCTTTGATGGTTGGTGACCCTGGTGGCATTTTTCAGTTTCTACTACAGTAACATGCAAAGAAATGTGGATAATTAACCATAGCAGCATAGCTGGTGCTGCGTCTTTATTAAAAAATTTTACTCTTTGTTCATTAATAAATATTTCAGTTGATGCAACTTAATTTGCTGTGTGATCTTCAAATTATAATTTGGTTTTCATTTTAATTCTAGGTTATTTTTCTTGTTAGACTTACTATTGAAGTAGAAACAAAGTGGTATTACTTTAGATTAAATGCATCCAAAAAAAGGGTGTTTTTCTTCTTTAATTATATGTTTTTTGGGGTGTAGATTAAGAATCTGAAATCCGTTTTTGGCGGTCGGCATCGAAAATTTTTAATGGAACCTGTTCCTAACTGGACCTAACCTGCGAGGTTTTCGTTGATCGGCTAGTTTTTTTTCTATGTACGGAGTCCGTCTGGCGGCCGGAAAAACCTAGCCAATAGATTTTTTCTATGTTTGTAGTCCGTTGGGCGGCTTGAAAAATCTAGCCAATCAATGAAAACCTCGCAGGTTAGGTCCAGTTAGGAACAGGTTCCATTAAAAATTTCCATTGCCGACCGCCAAAAACGGATTTCAGATTCTTAATCTACACCCCAAAAAACATATAATTAGAAAAAACTTTTTTTTTGATGCACTTTAATCTAAAGTATTACCAACAAACTTTTGGTGGAAGCTTCACACAGATACTGGTATGCCTGTTTTGCATTTTACAAGTTGATTTCAATAATTAATGTTTGCATTTTTAATATGAAAACGTGTGAAAAAATGCAATTATAACATGTTTTTGTTTTACAGTTTTAGCAGATTTCAATTCACTGAATAATAATTTGGGAAATTAGTCCTTTCATTTTATACTCCCACAATGCCTTCTATGATGGAATTGGAGGAAATGATTTCCAGCCGATTCTATGTGAGTAATATTTATATAATTAAAGAGTGGATTTGTATGACCTATACAGTATAATGCCATTTAACCTTACTGTTATGTAGGAATGAAGTTGTATTTTAAAATGAACTATTCCTTGAAAACCCTCTTATTATGTCTTCTGGTTTTCGTATGAGATACTTTTATGCCAATCAGTTATTATGAGCCCATCATACCACACCCCTAATTTGTTCTTAACACTAGAAGCACAGCAGTTGTGCACCACCTTAAAACACTGTTTGAGTTCATTCTGACATCATGCAGTAAAAATGCATAAATAAGTCTCTTTTGCCTCCAGAACCCAATTGGATGAATAAAATAACATTTTAATTGTTAATTTTACTAATTTTTAGCGTAACAGTTTCTAATTTGTTGGTAAGCAACCTCTGTGACATGTCATTACAAGGCAAAGAGCAGTACGTATGTGCTCTTCATCCAATCCTGCTGCCAATGTGTTATTATAAAAATATATTATGAGGTCTCAATGACCACATTGTGGTAGAGCACTCAATTAGTACTGAATACAGTTGATGTATCCAATTGTTATAAAGTAATCAAATATATAATAACAAAAAATAAGTCTCCAAATTTTATGGCAATCAAATAAACTGTTCGTATTTTATGCCTATTTTACGATGCAATTTGAAGTCATTTTGACCTCATTATGCTTCTAGTGTCTGAAATTTGCAGATCATGAAATATGTATGGTAGGTACATATCTATTACCTGGACAGCAAAGTGATGCAGGATTGCACCTTTTTATCATGCATATTTGTACTAATTTATATAACTTAATAATTTTTCATTATATTTTTCTGTATGATTGAACTCAGTTTATATAACACATACATCTTCAAATATTATTGAATTGGTGTTTTATATATTTCTATTACTTCAACTACCTACCTGCACCTGTAAGCAGGTAATGTTCTTGGTCAGTTGACATTTGCAAATTTTACATTCAAGATTTACAAAAAAGATTCATTTTGAAATGTTGTTGATTGTTGTTTATAATCGTCTAGGTTGAAGAAATAAGCTTCAATGTATTTCTATGTATGATTGCATGGAAAAGTGTTGAAGAATGGAGATTATCGGCTTTTTTGGGTTCAATTGAAACACGTTTGTACTCTGAAACTACTTAAATAATAGGACAGTTAACCTACCAAAGAAAATCATCTATAGACATAGTCCATACATACTAGCCAAATTTTGGCTAGTAGGAAGACCTCAGTGTCTGTTCAGAAGCTGCAATGCATTTTCTGAAATGATGATTTAATACAAATTTCTTACTCCTATCTAGTAGTGCTTGGATTTATCCTGGCATTATGAATACAGCTGTTTCTTTTGTTCCATTGATATTGAGCTACTATTTATTATTATTAACATGACGTTATGTATAAAATTGATAAATTCTAAGAATGTAAGCTTGTTTACTAAAAGTTCCTCTAAAAAATAAAGTTGAAAGAATTTCTAAATGAGAGACCATAAAACGAAATTGTTATTGAATTCAATAGGTTAATCAATCTTGCAATCATGTTTAAATAAATTTCTTTTCAAAGTATATAAGAATATATTTATATGTTCTCTTTACTTCATGATAAATAAGATTTTCCTAATTGTGATATTGCAATCCAAATTACTACATGCATCCAATGCCCATATGCACCAGACCCAAACTTGCCATAAACCAACTGGAATTCAGACTGAGATTAAGACTTCAAACCTAATACAAGATGGATACCAGAGGGCAAAATTAGAAAGGAACTCACACTAGATTAAAGTATTTCATTTAGTGGTTCACACAATTATTAATTTTATCTTGGTTTATGTTTTCAGGTGATCAGCAATAACAATGCTGAGAACTACAGAGGACATTATGCTCAGAGTGTGGGAGTTCACAGCTTGGCTGTCTACCCGGCACTCCAGCCTTCCATGCCGACACCATCCGCTGAAGCAAACAAAGGTTGGCATGTTTGGTCTTTTTATCAGTTTAATCTTCAAGCAGTGCATTGATATGCATATAATTTATATTTATAAACATTTTATGTGGAAGTAGATGATGTGCAGCTACAGTCGAGCAAAAATAGTTTTGGTATTCCAGAAAATTTTCTTAAGAATTTTCAGTAAAAATGTTCCAGGTCCTGGCAATAGATAAACCATTCTAAGGGACAAGTTATTGCTTCAACAATTTATTCTATAGCTTTATTGCTGTAGTTTTGGATCCAAATTCCAACATAAATAATTTTGAAAATAGGTACAAATAAACTTTTTGTTGAATGAAATAACTGGTTTCTTTAAATTTTGTAGACATGATTTTTGTTAAAAAAATAATAAGTATAAGTTCATTTTTATTTATTCTGTACAAAATTTGAGTACCCTTCAAATTATTAGCCCCAATGCAAAAGCAATTATGCTCAGCAATTTTTTGCATTCGTGTGCTCATCTTCATGCATTCAGCAGGATATGGGGAAAAAGGAAATACCTGGGTTAAAAAGATGCTTGATCTTTTTCATAGATCTTTTTATTTAATTTTCAAACTAGGATTTTTGACAAGAAAGGTTTATGCCTTTTAATCAAAATTATTTTTTTAACATAATTTTGTTATTGTTAAATTGTCAATGTTCTCATTTAATGTACATAACTCAATAAATTTCATTATCCCCAGGAGTGTCTATAATACAACATCTGTCACCCAAAAGTTGGCTCTTCTCGCGACATTCTCGTCAACTTGTGAACGAAGCCATGGGCACCTTCAGGAGTCTCCAGGGCATGGTGGAGGATGCCACCCCTAGGGAGGGCGATGACCCACTTGATTTAACTTCAGCTCTCATCAATAAAAGTCGGGAGTACAGGTAGGTTCATTATTATTGCCCGCTACACACACTAGTATTCAGTCTCATGAAGACACCATCAGTAAAACAAACATTTTACTTGATTAAGTTAGATTATGACTGTAAATATTTTCAGCATTGAGCGCCGTTATCAATAATATTTATATTATCTACAGGTCCATGCTTCAGGCATGTGTGTGTTCACTAAACAGTGACTTGGACAAGCTTGAGCCTGACAGTGATGAATATCAGGAGGTTTGTCATTCAATCTAATTTGATGATCAAGACCTGGACAATAACTTATTTTATAAACTGTGTTTCATGAATGCATAGTTACTGACAAAAATTTGCAGAGTCAAAATAGATGGAGAATACTTTTAATAAAATCTATTCAAAAATGAAATATTGAACAATATACTAGAATGGGATCCCATTACCAGTGCTTGAACGAATATCACATTTCCCCAGATGGCGGGACAGTGTCAGCTGCTCTACAAGATGGAGCTGCTCTTGGGCTTGGTTGAAATTATCTTTGTGGACTCGCGGCCTGGTAGGATCAAATTAATAACTGAATTTTTTCTCTTGTTTTCCATAAATTATTTCAATAATTTGATGCAAATCACGTAAGAATGAGGTTTGCACTGATTTTCCTGCATAATGGTGTGGAATAAAAAGTAATTATAGAGTTTGAAAGGTTTAACTAGTTACAAGTTTTGTTTTCTCGTGCAAACTTTGAAAATAGCTCTCCTTAATGCATGCAGGCTTTAATAATTGAAACTGAATGTATGTTCTCAAGCCTAACTAGTTCTTAGTGTATATGCCATTTATTTATTTAGTTATGAAGATTAAATGCATAAGAACAAACATCAAATCTCCTGACGAGATATAAATTTTCAATCATTAAATTGGTATCTAAAAATATCTAATCTTCAGGTTGGGGGGTTTGCTTTTATCCAGCGCCCCGTTTAACGACGATGCTAGCATGCGCAAAGGTGTAAAACAATGATGCATACAATACTTGCACGTGCATCTAGTGGCGTATGATCTATATCATGATTACAATTGTATTGTTTTCTGGATAGTTGGCTTCTAATGTACTCGGATAATCATTACCAAAATTAGATATGTGTTTGTTACAGGAAGTTTAATTTTGAGTCAGTTGGTGTGCTGGGTTCGTCTGCACTACCCTGCCTGTACCGAGCAGATGGTCAAAATCATGGCGGAAGAGGACCCGTCTCAGCACAACCTGTACTGGCAAACGGTTGGTCAGCGGGCCAATATCCTCTTCCTTATTCTTAATTTATCTGCATTACTTAGTGTGTATATTACCATGATTCTAAAGCTGTGCATATTTTATTTGAGGGACTTAAGAGTCGCTTGCAGTTATAGCAAGTTGCTCACTTGTAAAAATAGTTCATGGATTCTCGTGTCCAGTCAATAGGGATTGTTTTAATTTGTGTTCGAGCGTCTATTCACTCACGTTTGTATTATTAGTAGGAATCTTAGAGTAGAGGATATTTTTGATAGCTGTGTGATCTCCTTAGCAAAATTATTTTATGTGTCACTGCTGTTAGAGTAACATTTATAAGAAGTATATACAGGTGCTCAGGTACGACAACAAATATATCATTTTCAAATTTTATTCATTAATTTAATTTGTTTACTCAATTTTAATGTATATTTTATAAATTTTATGGTATCTCCTAAGTTTTATACTTGATTGTTTTCACATTTGAGTTGCCGATTCGTTTTAATGTTAATTTTTTTCCTGCGTTATCGGGAAATTTTTCAAGCAAGTGTGTAAATTGTTTGACGGCGTGTGCAGATTTATGAGTTGGTTTGCCAAGGCCGCATGTCTGATGCCAGACAAATGCTGCAGCAACATCCCTACTGCCACACTGACGCCTTTGTGGCCATTGAAGAAATTCTCAGGAAGATGCCGACGTATCAGGTTCGAGCCGACAACAATTTGATTTGAAAAGATTCCATTAAAGATTCTTATTATAATAACTAGGCTAAGAATTGTTCGTATCTTAATATGAAAAAATTGTCTTTTTATTCCAATTGCATTTACCAGTGTAAGTTGTAATTTTTGTAAGACGTCAAATTATGTTAGTACATGAGAATGTTCTATTTTAAGACTCCCGTTGGTGCCAAGTTGAGTTCAGATAAGCTAATTTTCCTTTTGGAAAATTTTGGTTGTTTAAGTGAATAAACTGGCCAATTGACAATAAAATAAACTAGCCAATTGACATGACAATATTCTATATTCCAGCTGTACAGCGGAGTATCAGATGGGGAGTTTATGCTTCGTTGGCAGCATTGGCAAGCTGAGTGTGAGAACAGACTCCAGGGAGGAGAGTTTGCCGCGTGGAGTCACCTGAAGAAACTCGCCGAGGTTACTGCTCAGTGTGCTAACTGAATAGACATGAGACAGGGCCTTGAGGTCCTGTGTGGTGTAAATATAAGACCTGCATGAATGTGGGTCTCGATTCTGGGTGATACAAATACAAGACCTGTTTGGATGTGTGCCTTTAGTCTCTGTGTGGTATGAATACGAGGCTTGCATGGGTGTGGGCTTCTAGTCTGCATGGTATGAATACGAGGCTTGCATGGGTGTGGGCTTCTAGTCTGCATGGTATGAATACGAGACTTGCAAGGGTATGGGCTTCTAGTCTGTATGTGTGAATCTAAGACATTGATGTTGGCTTCTAGTCTCAAAAGCATTGTACCTGGTGATACATTATTCAAGCAGTACTTCTTTCACATAATTTTTGCTGCATTCTATGTTCGTCTTAAGTAACATTTTCAGTATGAGCTGCAAGTACTTTCTGCTACTAAAACAACCCAGCTGTAACGTGACATCAAATAGTCTTTCAATAATGGTTGAACTATGCTTAACATCAAGTAAACATCTAACTGAAAAATAATTTATTTTCATTGTTTTTTTTTTTGTGGTAATGGCTATGTCGTTTATTAATTACCTCTTTGATGACTTAATTCTAATGGGGTTGTGGATATCGAGATTGTGACCACATGTTCGTTTTGAATCATGTGCAATCTATCAATGTGCCGTAAATTCATCTACAGACATATATTTTTCAGATAATGTGCGGAAATTCAGCAAGCATACTAAGCGTAACGATGTGTGGCGAAGGCAACCGCAACGACCGTGGAGGTTGTTGGGTACCGCACCTGTTGGCGACTTTGCTGTTCACGCAGCCCAACGTCAAGCTGCACAGGCTGCACGATGCGGCCACTCGCGCCATCACCGAGTGTTGCGTCAAGCTCTCCGCCCTCGACGCTTTGTTGCTCTCAGCCATGCAGGGCGACGCACTGCAGGTCAGACACTTGCTTCCTATGCATAGGTGAGCACAGGAAGATATTGTTTGCTGAAGAAATATATTTAGTGTTGTGTGAAATATTGTATTTGGCTAAATATAGCAACGATCCAAGTTAAGCATATCAATAAACGTCAGAGTTGGAGTGAGCCATCGAGTGTTGCAGGTTGTGCGTGGATGCCAACAAACGCTCGATAACCTGTGGCTCGGTGCGCACCTCACGGACCTCCTTCACCACGCTCTGGCCTCTCAACGCCACACTCAACTGTCAGTTATGCACTCCTCACCTCAACTATTAACGACGTTATTTACGCAGAAATGAATTTTGGATTAGTTAGGACGAATTAATCTGACTTGAAATGGAGTGGGATAAGGCTCATTACATTCCTAATAAATTGTAAATTCACTATTGAAGAATATCGTAAAAATAAGAATATAAATTATTACAAGTTGACAGTTTAGAACAGAATGAGTAGCCAACAAGCGTCGAGGCATTTAACCATCAAATGCTCCATAAATTCTTCAATTGAGTTTGGAAAAAGATATGAATAAGAAAATTGATTTACCCACATGGGTAAATATTGTAATATTTTGGATGACTGATGCACATACCTTATCTTGGATCACTGACTCATTTCATTATTCGGATTTATTCCAGTTTTTGAACAGTTTGCGCTGAACTGATGTCAGTAGTTTCTTCTTCTGCTGATAACACCAAACCAACCTGAGGTTGAAGAATTTTTTTTGCCATATGAATCGCTCGTGGCACATACAAACATAAAACTTTATCGTAATGCTGTGCAGGTCTCTTGCTGCAATGAGGGAAAGTATAGTACAAGACTACGCCCTCGAGCTCGCAGGTCATCCCAGCCTCTGGCAGGTAATGCAGTCTAGTCAACGCTCAGCGTGGCTTGTCTCACTTTTTTGTTCTAATTTACTGGAATTCACGGTAGTGGTTGGTTAATGCTAGTACCTACATTTTTATTATGTCAATTACTTGGTTTATGGTAACTTTCTGATTTAATAACTAGTAATTATTCACATGAGGTAAAGGAGCGCACAGTTCATGTTTTTACTTAATTTTTTATTCTCGGGAAAATCGTGTGCCAGAAAGAAGTTAGAAAATAATTTCTACAGCTTGTCTCCATTGATGTGTACCGTGAATGTGGCAGGTTGGCATCGTGTATCTCGACAGGTTAACGCGTGTTCAGACCCTAACTACTTGACTGTTGCAGGTTGGCATCGTGTATCTCGACAGGTTAACGCGTGTTCAGACCCTAACTACCCTGACTGTGGCAGGTTGGCATCGTGTATCTCGACTACTGCGGCACCGAGGGCGTGAAGGACGCGTCTCCCCTCACCTCGCTGCTGCTCGAGCGCGTGCCCCTCACATCAGATGCCAAGGCTCATAAAGTCATCAACATGGCGGAGCAAAGGAACCTAGAACACGTTGGTCAGTTGCATCTGCTCATTTTCAACGTTGAATGGCAATTTTTACCCAATAGATTATCGCTAAATGCTAATGGTCCTATTGAAGAATAGCCGTTGGTGCAATATTATAAATCTTTTTTATCCTATATATGATTAAAATCTAATGTGATGCAGTATTGTCATTTTGCTCATACAAGCAACAATGGCATTTAATAGTATGGCCAGATTATATATATTAAAGATGTTGGTCTGAGTTCATTTTATCGAGAAATATCGTTTATTTATATCATAGAAATATTTTATCATTTAAATATCGCGAGCCATTGCGTTAGTACGCGGCGTGTGTCGCGTCATGGGACGCAGGGCTGCCAACGAGGGGCGCCTGGCCGCCGCCATCTGGTGGGCGGTGAGAGCCAAGGACGCGCCCTTCACATCGCACACGGCGCACCAGGTGAGGCATGTGACGTGCCAGGTGAGGCATGTGACGTGTCATGTGAGGCATGTGACGTGCCAGGTGAGGCATGTGACGTGCCAGGTGAGGCATGTGACGTGCCAGGTGAGGCATGTGACGTGCCAGGTGAGGCATGTGACTTACGCCGCGTCCACGCATCACTAGCAGAGAGGAAGATGGGCAGGACTATTGCTAGTGTATACTAGTTTAACAGTCAAGTGTCCTTCAGGTATCTCACATTATTATTTTAAATGCAAATAATGTTAACTGAATGCTTATATTTACATGCATTGACATTATTTCCGATGCTTCAACATCCTGCCCTGAATCTAACTAGAACCATGCATTTTGTAAAATTCATTTGTAACCATTTTTATTTTAAAAATTTCTGTTCTGAAGCAATTTAGTTTCCATCTTTCTCACGCCTGTCTTTTGCCTCCTGCAAACTCTCCTATGAATTATTTTGTGAATGTTTCCTCAGCGCTTGACTGACACATTATGATCATTATGAGTCATGATGCTTCATAGAACTGCTTCTTATTCATTAAATAAAGAGACGCTGATGAAGGTACTGGCTAATCACAACTGCAGTGGTTATTATTGTTACGTCAGGTCTTGCACCGCTACCTAACATCAGGAGAGTTCCAGTCCTCGGCCCTGTTGTTGGACCATCTCGGGCCCACCATGCTGCTCTCCGAAACGCTCACTTTCCTGGGTATGTTGAACTGTGAATATTTATTCAATTGTAAAATCATTTGCGTATATATTCCAATTTTTGTTCTTAGTAGTTTTAAGTCAACTTTAATTAATTAGACTAATCAAATCCACACCAAATTCACCAATCTACATCAAATCTACGCCGAATTCACAACTTGAAATATTTAACCCATAGATACCATTTTCCAAGATAAAAACTTGAGTTTGCGATTGCTAGTGAGAACTAATTTACGTGATGTAACAACCAATGTTTCGGAGAGAAAATTTCAGTTGTAAACAATACCTGCACAGGGAAATACCGCGAGTTTCATTCGCTGTACAACCGAGGCGACCGCAAGCAGGCAGCTGACCTCCTCGTGACGCTCATCTCCTCAAAGCTTGCACCTCAATAGTCAGTTCGAAATAGTTCTCTTTGCCTCATTTATGACATAAATAGCATAATTCTCACAGCACATGGCGATGAACTGGATTTGTATGTATATAATAAAATTTATTATCGGGCCTATCCAGATGAGATAGCGAGCGAGCAACACCTCAAAATTTTCCATCCAACGAACATTGACATTGATTTAATTTTAGTTTCTCAACGCATGCTGCTGATGTTTCTACAAGTAGCAAATGAGTGGGAAATAGTATGTGGCCAATTAAACTGATTAATATGCATAAAAATTCATGTAATATAAGTTCTAATGTATTTTTTTTGTAGTTTTTGGCCAGTGCTGCTGCTTGATGTGCTCCCTCTGCTGCAGTCATCAGAAGATAGCCAAGACAAAGACGACGAAATCGTGGTGACGGCAGCGCACACGTACGAGCTCATGTACTGCCTCAACTCAGTCGTCGACAAGTTCCAGCGCGACAACTCGCGCGACCGCGGCAGGCACGTACTGCCTTCTTTCACAAGTTTATTCTTATTGGAACACTGTAAACTGGTCCACTAAGCCACCTTGCCTGAACAGGGTTTACTTGGTGTCTAACAGTAAACAATTTGAAACTTACACACGCTTACACAAAATATGTACTGCATTACACTCCGTTTAGAGTGTAACAAGCTCGGTACGTTTTGTGATGCCAGTTCCCGGAGCAGCCGACTGGGGTATTTTAGAAACTGATACACAATTTCAACTAAACTGAGCTTAATAAGTGTAGTGATTTTTGCCAAGGTATCCACTGCTGTATTAACGTTTTTTTGTGTTAACAGCGCAGTGGCGATGGAGTGCGGGTTAGTTCGCGCCTTCACGCAGCGCGAGCACGAACTACGAACTTGTCTCGCACACAACCTCGCAAGAGCTATCGTGACAGAGAGCAGCTCTCATTCTGTCACAGCTATGTCGGGTATTTCAGCGGCATAGTCTTCTAATTTAGAGAATGAAATGTCTTCTGTCATTTCACTCAGATTTTCACGTCTTCCGTGCAGCACTCTCAAAGCTTCCCGGAAATAAAAAATGAATTGAAAGAAAGTTTGATTTGTAACCTCACCTCTTGCGCTAATGGGCACGGGAATGGCGAGCGTAACCCTCTAGTCACAGGCTGGAAGTAGCGGGTCTCTTAGTACGTAGGCAGTAAATGCCTCTGCGGAGTCACTCATTCGAGACAGCCAGAGCCATATCAATTGATATACACCCGCGAAGCTAGTGGTTTACTTGCACATGTCAACATGAACATATCCTTTTAGGTAGAGGCAGTTATAGCGAATTGTGAAAATGAAACAAAAAATTTCATGTTGCAATACATATAATTCCTGCATGTGCCAATGAAAGGAATATTCTAATAAAAAAACTTGCGCTGCCATCAGTAACGCGCCTTATTAAAGCCTAAAAGTGCGAAAATTAATTTCCGCACGGCGATTACATCGACGCCAAAAAAATGAACGATGTCTTAAGATAGCACGAAAGATCTACCTGATCAAACTGTACTAATAAAAAAACGAGGGTCGCTCAATATTCCTTATTGATCACAAGCATCAAGCTTATCATAAAAAGCATTGTTTGCTATCTTAAGGAATAACACCAACGGATTCAAGTTATACAAACTATCGAAAACAATATTGGTCAAGATGTGCGAGGGACAGAATAGACGTGGAATACAAAGTATACAGGATAAACGACATACAAACAGAGCCAAGATTCAACAGCATAGCTAAAGAACCCCGCAACTTTGATAAGCGTCGCAGCGACTCTGGCCGCTCGTGGGGGTCGAATAAAGCCGGCATGGGCAAATGCAAAGACGAGTCTAATTGGAAATTATAGCATTAAACATTCTATTGGATAACAGGTGATTTTGATGATCCATTGCCTTACATCATTGAAATAATAAAACCTGCTTTATTTGTTGAATGAGCTGAAGAACACCTCAACCTCTCACGTATCTTAAAAACGAAAAAGAGACCGCTACATAACCTGACAGAAATAAAAGGCTGGCAATCAAATTTTAGAAAATTCCTTTCAAATTCCTTACAGCTAGTAGTTGTAGCAAGAAGTGCCCGCAGTTAAACCTAAGCAGCCTAACCCTAATCAATGGTTGCTTTGTTAAGAGGCCAATATCGAAGAGGAGCGTTATTGCCCGTAGTAGGGTCTCTGTACTGAGGAGTAGTTGCTGCGACTATTCCTGTACGCGCCGCCAGCACTGGCACCGGCACCACCACCAGCACCACTTCCACGTGGCATGCCACCTCTATTGGCACCTCGCATTCCTCTGAAGCCGCCGGAGCTGGGACCACCCATACCGCCGCGATTCCTGAAGCTTTGGGGTCCTCCATAGCCTCCTCGGTTGCTGTTCTGATAGCCGTTAGAGCTGAAACCACCTCTGCCGCGATAACCTCCGTTGTTGTGATTAGTATTCATTCGGCCACGTCCACCTCGTCCTCGGGAATACATACTGCCTCTGCGGTCGTCGTAATCTTCCTCACCGCCCCAATACGAGCCCTCATCGTGACCACTGCCATAATCATCAACCTCGTTGTCACGCCTCATGCGATTGGGAGGTCCATTCCTGTAACCGCTGCCACCGCCCATCTTGCGGTCATACTCATCTTGCTGCTGTGGCTGCATTGCGGGTCGAGGAGGACTACGAACGTCGCTCCAATTTCCTCCCATGTTGCCATCACCCTCTTCAGATCCCCAGCTTCTGTTGCGGCGATTTTTGTCTTCAATAGGAGCAGCGCTCCAGTCTGTGGATGAGGACTGATTTTCAGCGCCAGGAGAAGTGCATGTCTGAACGCCGCCGTTCATTTGCGGCTGATCGTCGCTCCAACTTTGACTGGGTTGATCCCAACTTGAAGACGTATGTTCTTGAGGGAGTGGAATTGGCGGAGGGGGGTTGGGAGTGTTGTCCAAAGTAGGAGTCAGTGCTGCCTGGGGAGGAGCAGCGGCAGAGGGTGGAGGGACGGAATACGCCAAAGCATCGGGGGCGTAGGTGGAGCTGTGTGAAGGTGGGGGTGCATGACTGAAGAACTGCTCTGCCTCAAGTTGATGAGGAGCAGGAGGCTGTCTAGAGTTACTAGAGTGAATTGGGGGAGGTGGAACGTTAGATAGACTCGTGGCAGGAGGTGGAACGGTGGGGGGGAAATTAGGAGTAGGAATGGCGGCGAGATTATTAATGGAGTGAGGCAAATTCTGTGCAGAAACGGATGATTGGGTGACGGAGTGTTGTGCAGGAGGTGTCGTGTAATGCTCAACAGGGGCTACATGAGGATCAGCAGTGACTGTCATTTCAGCTGGGTTCACGCTTCCAATAGATACGACAGCAGGATCCATGTACACAGCGACTTCGCTCACGGTAGACGACGTGCCTCCAGATGGTTTATCTATTACGCTTTCTTGCAGAAAGTCAAATGAGCCCAAAGTTAGGAGGTCTTTGATAGAATCATTATGAAGGCTGTTACAATCGTCCGCGTCTTCTAATTCCTCTCTTTGATTGAGCTCTTGTTGGTGGAGGTGTTGTTGTTGGAGCTGCTGCTGCTGCAGCTGCTGGTGCTGCTGCCGTTGCTGCTGTTCCAATTTCTGTTGATGGGCAATGTTCTTCTGTTGCTGTTCATGATCCATCTGGAACATAACCTGAAGGTGTTGTTGGTGCTGTTGTTGCTGTTGAGTAAAAGCTGCTACGAAGGCTTCTTGAGATGTAATATTTGGCAGCTGCAGCGCTTCGTTCATGAGGAGAGGGGCCGATTGCTGCTGTTGTGGGTGTGGCTGCAGGCCAGGTGGAGGAGGAGGCTGTGCATCTCTTATCAAGAAGGCAGTAGTAGAAGCATCGACAGGAACGGCCCCAGCAGCAGCCATTGTTAGGTCATCTATTTTGTTGAAAGAAGCTACAGGAGCAATCATATCTCCAGAATGATTCAGAAGCTGGGCAGCATCACCAGATGTGGCTTCTTCTTCAACTGTCTGACCAACAGCAGCCTCGGGTTCAGATATTTCCTGCAGATGAAAATGCATTTAGGAGGCAATAATTGGGACTACGATACATTTTATATTTTCTGAGAAGCAACAGAAATAAAGCCTTAAAATGAAAGAAGATCTAACAGTTAAATTATTTTGTCCTTCAATATATTAATCTAGACTGAAAGACTAGATTAATCACTTAAAGAGGAAATTTTGCCATGAATAATGTGCGGGTAGCATACAAAATAAAATGCACGCATCTGTTTAATAATCTAGCAAATGCCGAGGTCATCAGGAGTGAGATAAATCCGAAAATGAATCAACTTAAACTAGAATAGAACATGAATCTCATTCACAGTGTATAAATGTTCACTCTGAGTAAAGCCTCATTCTTACTAAAATGAATAAAAAATAAAAAAGCCTCATTCTTATAAAAATAAATAAAATAAATACGAGTTCTAGGGAGAAAATAGAGGTCACCTTATCACATTCCTGGTCAGCTGCAGGCTGTTCCGGTTCGCTCTGCTCCTCTGGCTCAGGTTCCACAGGCTTCTCCACATAGTACGAGCAAACGGACGCACTATCAATGAAATTGGTCTTGATATCCTCGTAAGTGGTTCCTTTCGTGACGAATTTGTTACGTCCGTCCACCAACAGATGAATATGCTGAGCAGAGCTATGAACAACATCCTGAACAACAATAGAATGACGCCATGAAATACCTGAGCAACTTGAAGACATTGGAAGGGACAGTAGGACTGAGAGTAAGAGATCGTGGCAAACAGAGAGTTGGTGAGTGGTAAACCTGCCTACATCCACAAACCTGGCCAAAAAATTTTTTGTCATTAGACAGAGCTTATTTCCCAAACAGGGTTAACTATTTTGTGACCCTTCTTTACATAGGTTTTCTTTGAAAATTAGCCAGAAATTCATTTTTTACAGAAGAGGGTTGAAACAAGCACTGAAATGACAAGCAATGATTGCTCTAACATATTCTTTTGTCAAATTAAATTCAGAGCAATTAGAATGCACGCCATGGGCTGGTCCTTTCTTACCCCATGAAGGCTGCGATCCTGTCTTACCCCATTTGACTATAATCATCATGAAATATCTTCTGCTACTCATTCAAGATTGAAATCAGCCTTAATGAATAATTCTTTTGCTATCCAGCAATTCACCCAATGTTTCACATTACCACATACAGATTTATCATCAAGTTGAAACTCACGCCAATAGACTTGGTGCTTTCAGTAACTGGTGGAGGAGTGATGAGTGCATGGATGCGCTGCAGCTTCTCTATGAGCTCCTCTGAGGCACATGGATGCTCTTCGCTTGGAGGTTCAGAGAATAGTTCAGGGTGCGTAACTGCCAACTGCAGGCACGACTGACAAAAAAGTGTGTACAATTAGAACAGAAATAATAAAACAGAAGAGTTTCTGAACTAAATAAAAAAAATGAAAAACTTATTCAGATCAGATTTTTATCAGCAACAAGGATTTATCAGTAAAAAATTTAGAAGCACATTTCTTAGGTTTAAAACACAAATTGGAGAAATTTGAAAACCATAACATTTCAAACTGATGATGCAAAAAAAGATGGATTTAATTTCCATCAGTCATTTAAAGAGTTTTTCAGTCTCATACTAATTATTTCAGTGATGTGCCTTAAAATGGGGAGACTTGAACTCTTGACAAGGGTACTTGGGCAAATTTCAGCACTTACATTTCTGCAATGCAAATAATCACATAGTGAAAGTAAAAAATATCTCCTAATTGTATTTGTTGATTATCTCATGGTACTTCAAAAGACATCAACACAATTTTTCTAGAGCAAAAACTTTTTGAGTATAGGGTTTTCTCTTTTTGAATGTCAAAACAGTCCCCGTCACCCCATCGATGATCCAGGTCACCCCTTTTTAAGGTGTAGTGATATTACAAAGAGGTTTGATATTCTTTGGAATTCAGCTCAACTACAAGATGAACATGTGTAATAAGTAACCAATATAGAAATGCATTTTAATAAGCTTATTGCATATTGACTTTCTTGCCGTATCATGTTATTAAAAAGAATCAAAAACAAGCAAAAATATGTTTCATTTCTGGAAAAAAGTATGCATAACACTTTCATTCAAGTTCAAATTATTACCTGGATTTTCAGAACTTCCTTGATTCGTTCAAAGATTTCCCGGGCTTTTTCCTGAGATGCTTTTTTCTGTTGCTTCTTGAATCGCGTCCGGTGCTCATTCAGAGACTGGATTGGAATGTTTGTTTATTAGACTGTAGCAAACCTTGTGCTTTGATTTATGTATTTAAATTCAATGTGTATCATTAAGATCATGTGTGAGCATGAGTTTAAAATTCAACTCAAACTTTTCAGGAATACATCTCAACCTATTCAATGTTCACAACTACCATACATGTAATCAAAGAGCAAAACTTTACAATCATTTATTTATGACATTTCTAATTCACTCTGTTCATTTACAAAAATCTTATAGAATCTTGAGGGCACTGACCTCATTGACAACTTGGCTGATCTCCTTGACAGCATCCAGGGCAGAATAAACAGCATCCATCTCTCTGAGGTGGTTGAGTTGGTCAGGAGTTATCTTCTTGTACTGGATGGTGTCTTTGGACAAATTCTTGAAGAAAACACCTCGAGGATGAGCAGGGTCTGAATCAAGTTCCGTCTGGGGAAAAAATGGAAAGAATTATAAATTGCACATTTACACAAAACTCTCAAGTACAAGCATGCTAAGATGAGTATTACTGGAAGTCTCAAGAGAAGGGTCTTTTTCTACATCAGAGATTTTATTTTGCAGCATCTTTTGTGATAAGGAAAATTTAGTCGACATGTTACAACAGACAGTTCCAGAACAGGAGTAGGAAGTTAAGAGGTTGTGTGCAGCTCCACAGGTCAATTCTTACAGTATATTTACCATGAAAAAATGAGGGGCCAAATGAGGTACACACTGCCTATAAAGATGGCAGTCAGCTGCACTGACAAGTGTACCATATATGTGCACAATGTGCACCCAGCAAGTTCACTACAAGCCTAAAGGTGCACATTGCAGCAAATGTATTGAAGATAATTGTTATGCAGGTGCAATTTGATTTATAGAACTGAAAGTTTTCATAATGGAATGGATAAAAAAGCTATAACTATCATAGGATAGAGCTATTTCTGCTTACTTGTATGAAATGTTGATTTGGAAAAATCAAACTCCTTAAAAAAATTATGTTGAGTGCTCTCTTATATTAGAGTAATGTAAATATTATAGTTGTTACTTTATACATTAAAAAATTCATTTAATTACTTACACGTAACTATGAAGAATCCAACATATATATATATATACCTTCCTCCTAAAGAACCTCCTCCCATCTTTTTCAGTTACCTTTTTAAGTACCTATATCAACTTGGCAATTTGGAATTTTTACTAAAACCTGAGCTTTCAACTACTTCATATGCATGTTAGTTTTTTGAAATTCTAGCCATTTCTAAGTAGGAAGCAAAATTATGCAAAATTGGAAGACAAAGAACACATTTGTACAAAACAACCCTAGACAGGAAAACACAGCTGATAAATTCTCAGCATGCATTATAGATATTTATTGATAATATATCAATAACTGTAATATTGAATAATTTTTGTAATAACTAGCCTTCATAAAGTATATGTTAAGAGAGTCTATGTTAACATCTTAGTCTATTTTTAAGCAAAAATATCAATGGATTACGAGGCACAAATCTCCTCACATCAGACACTAGAGTCTGGGCTTTTAGTTTTGAGAAATTTTTTAAAACTTGTTTGAGGACTTTTGAGCAGATCACATATAAAACATGGAAAATGAAATTTTAGCTTTAATAAGCATAAATGTACCTGAATTTTATGGAAAACTAAATTGTTTTGTTGGACCAACTTGTGTTTATATGGGTGAGAATTTTCAATGTTCATCTTAGATTTACACTAGTTGAAATAATGTGAAACAGAGCTTAAACAGGGATGACATAAAATAGATACTTGACACCATGATATAGTTTATTTCTTCCGCAATGCCCTGTAAAAAATTACTAAACAGTTTCAAAAATAGAGATGAACAAGCAAAAATCACAAAATGCTCTTTGGTATGGAGATATCTGGGCATCCTTATTTTTATAGCACTGTGATGTGTCTTGAATGATTACAGAGCAAGTTAGAGAACCTATTCATAATTATATTATAAATATAAGGTTGGTCTTATTGCCAAATTAAGGTGGGTTTTTAAGAGGTCAGCAACATATATACACTCCTGTATCATTTCTATTTTTTCATATATGATCCATATTGAACAAAAATATATATTTTAGATAAATATAGGATCTACCATCAACCGGGGCTACTCAGGGCAGTTTTGAACGTTTTTTTTTTTTTGTTAACAACTGTTAATAACTTCTTATGATGAAACAGGCTCATTTTATAGCTCTTTGCGAGGGCTATCGAATGGCAAAAAAAAAAGAGTGTCCTGAGTAGCCCCATTCAACGGGGCTACTCTGGACACTTGGAAGAAAACTTCATTTTAAAATATTTGAAGCATGCAGAGTGTACTCATCCATTACTAAGAGTACTCTGAAGTCCTCCTCTTTCATTGTAGAGATGTAGAGGTAGAATAAAAGATATTTTCAGTGATTTTTACTTGTTTTTTCTTTATTGATGATATTACCATAAACATTAATTACCCTCAACTGGAGTGACTTGGGCCACGTTTTTTATTTTGTTTTGCAAACAAAAACGGGGTCATAAACGTCAGGGTCGTAAACAAGGTCATCAACACCAGAGTGACTTTGGCCATCCTTTATGACCCCGCTTTTGTTTGCAAAACAAAATAAAAAACGCAGCTGAAGTCACCCCAGTTGAGGGTACCCTATTATTGATGGGATATTACATTACTGTATTATTGATGTGATATTATGGTATCCATGAACATGCCATTGAGCATTTACAACAACCTTGTCCACTGCAAGCTTCTTATCAGCAGCCTTATAGCATTTTTTCTGTATCTGTATTCTGTAAGCTCACAGGATGGCTTGTAATTTCACACCACTTTAATTGGGTTAAGTGAATTTACTATAAAAAAAATATAACTCAGTACTCACTGCAGTGAGTGACAGAGAGCGCATTTTCTCGTTGACAAAAACTTGAGGTCACAGACGAACGGACAGACAGACGGACATGGCAAGCACAATAGTGCTCGTTTATGTGCCATGCACTCGTTTATGCGTCATTTTAATTGGGTTAAGTGAATTTACTATAAAAAAAATCGTGAAAAACATACCTGAAACAGAAAGGAATGTTTTAGTGACAACCATCATATATTTTGGAGAAATAAATCATAGTTTAGGTCAATTACTTTTCATTTTATGATGCCCAGTGCACAATTATATATATAGCATTCTTTGTACAATTTTGTAATTATATATATATAGCATTCTATGTACAATTTTGTGACGACCGATGATGCACTAATTTTCCGATAAATGAAATTTTTTTTGCCAAGCGAGGTTAATATAATCAACATTCTTTGTTTTTAATCGATTTTTTTCTTAACTGGACCCTTTTCTCACTGAGGTTCTACTGTAAATGCGTTTTTGGAGGTGTCCCGAATAGCCCAGGGGGGGTGTCCCGAGTAGCCCAGCCATGCGGAAATGGCTGCCATTTTTTTTTTTGGAATGAGATAGGACAATTCTGTCAATTAAGTTTTCAAGCCAACACCTGGGTGCATCTTTTATGTAAGTAAAATTTTTTAATACGGCGAATATTTTTTTGGCTACAGACCTTAGCAGAAGTAACTTTTCAAAATAGCATTTTCACCATTTTTTTCAGGAATTTTTCAAAGCTAGTAAATATAGTATTTTTCGACTTCCTTTATACTACATAGATAGGAAAAATGTTGACGTTTACGCCACTATATTTAGTTTTCCAATATTCCAATTAGTTTTGCTACTATAACAGTTTTACGCCGTGTCGGAGGGCTGTCCCGAGTAGCCCCGCCAGTCCGAGTAGCCCCGGTTGACGGTATACACTGAAATAAGTCCTTTAGAATGTGTTATAACTTATGAGCCACTGATGACTTAGAAATTATTATTTCAGCTGGCCATATTTGATTCGACATAATTATCAATCCTATCAATTTATTCATTCTTTCCTTATAAGAGAACATTTTTTGGAGTCCAGCTTCATAGTCAGTTCATAACACAAGTCCAGTATAACAAGGTAAAGCTTTCCCTTTCCCACATTATACTGGGCTTGTATTATGAAGGACTGATAATCAAGCTGGACTCCAAAACATTTTTTCTTATAAGGAAATGTGAATTTTTGTGATATTGTCTTTGCTTTTAAATTTCTGGTTAAACCTGAGGTGATCTTGTAAAGACAAGCAATACCAACAGCCCCTCTCTATTTCTGTCTTTCCATCTGCTCACCTCATTGTTTGAGAATTGAAATACAAGTGCATGGAGGCCTCAGGTGAGCCCCACAGTTTGGAGACATAAGCAGTTTCCTAACACAGAAGCACTGTTATCCTTCACATGACTACCCATGATTTCACATAACCTGTGCACAGGACCAAGCGTAGAAAACATATCCCTTTAGGGCCACGACTAGAGCTTTCCCACCATTTCCGGAATCTTGAGATTACCGCCAGATGAATCACCTCCTATCTAATTGTTTACATAAGTGCATGATTGGGCTGCGCGTTTCCAAATGCATTAAAAATTCATCATGCCAGAGCCATGAGATTTCAGAAACAAGTAGGAAAATTCCAATTCTGCACAGGACTTTGTAAATAAGTTGGCAGCTCAGAAATGGCTCTTCATAACAGGGATACATGGAATTCATGGCTCAAAGAAATAGAATCATGGCTTGAAAAACCATAGAACCAAAGCTCAAAAATCCAGCCATGGTTCAGAGAGTAGATATTTTGGTATTACTTTAGATTAAGTGCATCCAAAAAAAAAAGGTGTTTTTTTGTTTAATTATATGTTTTTGGGCTGTAGATAAAGAATCAGAAATCCGTTTTTGGCAGTCGGCATCAGAAAAACGATTTTTATATATGCCGATTTTTATATATTTTCTAAGATAAAATGCAAGTTAAATCTTGGCCCCTATATCCGTGGATTTATAGCGTTTTCAACTTAGCCTCGGTGACCCATATACTCTTGCAAGTTGCAACCACGACATTGCAGGCAACCACAACATTGCAACCATGGTTAGGTTTGGTTTTTTTTGCCAATTTTGCCAATTTTTGCCTGATTTTTTTTGACGAATTAGAGCCTTGGGGAAAAAAATCAGTTTTCCGATGCCAACCGCCAAAAATGGATTTCAGATTCTTTATCTATAACCCAAAAAGCATATAATTAAAAAAACACTCTTTTTTGGATGCACTTAATCTAAAGCCAGGGCGCAGAAGATGGAAGCAGCGTCACCAATATATGGGTTTTTAAGCCCAAAGCGTCGCCGGGTAATTTTTAATGAAAAGCCATTTACGCTGAGTAATGACGAACTATTTACAAGCCACGAACTTATTTACAAGGTTGCATGCACGTGTTACCCCAAATAACTAATTTTACCCTAAAAACAGTCCGATTGTACAGCAAGTGTCAACTGAACATGTAATAAAGCAGTCTGACCGCTCTAATGTGACCGAAACT